TACACTCACACAACGGTGACAAAAATTCAAAACAAAGTCATTAATTACACTCTGATCATGATATTGACTAAGATAATGAAAGAATTTAAGAAATAACACCTAAGATGCTAGTCAGGAATTCAGATAATCTGATTATCTGAAGAAGGACATGAAAGACTGCATCATTACAGGCAGACGGAGGTGACTGAGCGAAGGCCTCTCAAATCAATCAAGGACTAGTGGACCATCAAGAATGAAGCTCTGGATACTCCACCATAGCAAAGAGCTCCTCAGAGAAGGGGACAGAAACACTTCCTTACAGCAACTTAATTAAAATGAGGGGCAGTTAATATTAACAAGGAGAACAGAGGAAGAGAAGGGTCGATTACCCTTCTCTAGTTCATTCAGCATTTTGTATCCTTATTGTCCTCTTTAAAATAAACATAACACTGTTTCCATCTCACTAGATCTTTTGCAGACACACTTTTGATCAGAAAATACACCTTAATTCACCTAACCCTAAAGAAATCTCACATAAGAAATAGATGGCAATGTCAGAACATGAATTTAATCCAGTCTGCACCACTCGTTCATAACTTCTGTTCACAGAAATGAGGATCCTACCCTCCCTCCACACCTTTGTCACAAGCTCTGTCAGGATCCCAGGAAAATTGCTCTCTCCCCTTCTCTTGTAGGGTGCAAAATTTACAACTTCACTCTGAAAACTGCTAACAGAAGCAACAAGCACATTTCAGCTAGCTAACCCATGGGAGATTCAGACCTGGAAGCACAAGCTTTCTACCTAGTAAGAGTGTGCTGATCACCATCAGATTATCTTACCAAGACGCCTTGGAGTGCAATCAATACAAAACAAATAAATTATTAATTGCTCCAAGTAATAAAATTCATCAAATCCAAATAAAAATAACTGGTGTTTTACATAACTGTTTCCAATGCTCTGAAGGGACGCTATTGATCACAGGAGGACAGACAGATGTTTCACATGTTCACAGTTGATGAGGTCTGGATTTGCATTAATGACAGGAAAGGCACAGAGCCAAGAGCCTCCGATGCAGAATAAACAGGCAGTGTGGCTGGCCATTTAATTGCAGGTCAGCTCAAATATAAAGAATAAACATGTCTAAACACATACACACAACCCCATCCTTCACTAGGGGTGTCATTCATCTTGGAGCTTGCAGGAAGCACTTGGCTTCTACTTCAAGATTTAAAAAAAAAAAAGTCACACACATCCACACACCTCCCCTCCCAACCACAGCAAATTCTAACTCATTAATCAGTGCTAAAAAAATGCTCTGCTGGCTAGTAAATATTTAAAAGCTGGTCAAGGTGAATATTTGAATCAATGGGTATTAAAGCTGTACTTAAAGTTTTCCTTCATTTCCTTGCTCTGACTGGTAATTGCTCTGCAGGGCCCTGGCTAGTAGGCAGCCAGGTGCTGGCTGGAAGCCTTTTCTGGTGGGAGGGGGCTGGCTGTGGACAGAGCAGGAACATCCCCTCAGCACATCCTATGGATCTGGGATCTCGGCAAACTCCTCCGCTCGCAGTTTTGTTACCCAGGGAGACATCATTCAGTTGATCTTCTTCCAGTTCCTTTGCCACAAAACCCATAACAACAAAGCAAGGACACTCACTCATACCTCAGACATGCAGGAATTGGGACAATTGCCCACCTTCTCCAACCACCATCATTTTTAAAAGCACTGCTGCAGCACTAACATAATCGTAACTTAATATTCACAGATAAGGCTGAGAGACAGATGAGCACTTTAAGATAAAATACACAGACAAGATTTTAAGTATCCTAGTCCAAGCACTCTGAACATAATAAAGTCAATGACAGAGTTAGTTACACTTAAAAGAAAACTAAACATGACATGGCACAGAAACACTGCAGTGAGTACAAAACAAGCTCAGCAACACCAAGCCTAGATCACAAACGTGTAGTATTGCCAGTTTGTCTGGGCTATGGAAAAGCTTCAACTTTAACAGCTCTAATTTTCTCTCCCTTCATCATATCCATCCTTAGCAAAGTTTTCCTTGTAGCCCCATGCTTTCTTCCTCTTCTTTCCCTCTACAAATTCCCTACTTATCTCTCACTTCCTCTGGCTCTTTGGCTTTCTGCCACCTCAGCTGAGCAGATCTGGTACAACAGGAAGTTTTCTAGAAGTAACACTTGGGATTAATAACATAGTTCTGACTGTATTATGAAAATAATACAGTTTTACTAACAGCAAAGGCAAGAGCGCAAAATTCCTTTTCCAGAAACTCATAAAAGGTTTTCTTCCTTCTAAAACGTCTGTTAGTGGCTGCTGTCCTCAGTGGCACCAAGGCCATAACACTCTGCCTTGAATTACGAGGAAGCCTCTCATAATGGGGAGCTTCCCATTGCCATTAGGGAAAACTTGGAGCCTGTGCAGTCCAGAGGCAGAGGGGAAATCCCATGCAGAGCAAGGGCACGGGGGTTGGGGCCTTCTTTGCCTGTGGCCACGGCCTGATGGAGAACAATAGGAGACAGAACCCATTGTGAAAGAAGGCAGCATGTGGAATTCACTGCAGAAGATTATTCTTCAGCATCTGCTGAAGGAGAAACTTTCGGTTATGAAGAATAATGGCTGTAAGTGACCATTAATTCTAGGGAAAAAAAAAAAAAAGCAACACTTCATATTCACCCTCTGCATAAGATTTCTGTAAGTTAGCTACAGGGAACTGGAAAGCCTGGGCTATTGTCATGAAAACTACTGGGAGCGAATTAAATAGAATACAGACTGCTAATTTTCTTCAACGACTAATTCTGTAAATTAATTTTAACTCAAGTGAACAGACTAAATGTAAATCCTTAGAAAAAAAGGAAAGAATCCCTCTAATCAAAGAGTAAGTACTGTCATTCTGGGGATGATATGGTACATTTTTCACACATGACAGAGGTTGAATCCCTGATCTCAGTGCAAAATCTAGCTTCACCTAACTACCAAGGCGTAAAGCACGGTAGTAAAGTACAAAATAAAAGAGGACAATAGAAGCCTTTAGGTGAGGAACCCTTTAGGTCCTCAGGCAAAAGAACTTACTGCAGAATGTCACAAGCCTTTAGAAATCATTTTCCAATGTACTCAGGGCAAGACATCTCACATTGAATGTTGCCAGAATACAGGAGTTTCCAGCACATCACACCAATTTCTCACCCAGCCCCAGCCAGCTCCTACCCCTTATCAATTCCATATCATTCATGTGTGGAAGATTTGCCACGTAAATCACAGAAGTAAAATACTCAGATTAGCAGATTGTTAATTCTACCTTATACCACTTAGCACTTCAGCATCTCTCACCAGTTCAAAAGGTTTTTACTGACTTCACATAATTAACTCTCCCCATCACCCATATGTGAAGCAAAGGAGTCTGTTAGCTCCCTTTTTAATAGGAAAGACTTGAAAAAGGAAGCTGGATGACTAAAGGCCACAAGTGAATTCAGTTTGCTAAAATGGACTCCCAACCAATAAAGCACAGTTCTCTCTTCTAGATCAGATTACCTTTTGTAACCTGCAGATCACTAGCATTTCCAATTAACAATGCTGATCTCCTTAAAAGTTTCAGGAAGCAGCTCTAAGTCATCTCAGTAGCTTGGATCCTGCAGGCTGAAAGCTGATGATTCAAATTGCCCTACCCTCCAAGCTTACTGCTCCATTTCATAAGCATTAAAAAGAGACAGGGAGAAGCAGATAACACCATTTTCTGCAAAGGCTGGAAGCTGAATTAGCCTGTCTGGCAGGCAAAGAGGCTGCTGCCTTTGCCACATGGTTCCATCTCTGACAGGTTATTGCTCAGCTTCTCTGTCAGGGGAGGGAAAAATAGGAAAGTTCAACCATCACTTACTGGTTTCCAAACCAAATCAATCTCCATAAATTACTCTATTTATCTTGGTGCTGGAGAGCACATCTGCCATGTCTCTGTAAATCTCAAGGCATTCACTGCAGGCCTGCCCAGCACTTTGCTTCCTCAGGGCTGTAACCCCTTCCTCACACAGGTAAGCTGCCCATGGTTGCACTTGCTCAATGCAGGGGGCCCCAGCTTGCTGAGGCATTCTGCCTCGGATGTACAAGCACCTATGTCAACCCACCACACAACAGGCCCGGAGCATTCCCAACAAGATCTGAAACTATTCTGACATCAAAAGAACATCCCAATTATAAAAAATAAATAAAAAATGATCTTGAAAATTAGTTTGACGAATGAGGTTGCGTGGCAAGAAACCTACTCATCCACCATTGCTGTGATAAAGCAACTAAGGGTTACTTTATCTGGCCACAAAAAAAAAAAAAAAAAAAAAAAAAAAAAAAAAGCATTTGTACTGGGCAAACAGGATTTTACTATCAAAGCCCCTCTGAAAACATTCAGCCAGGCAGGCAGGTTTAACTGACTCAGTATCCCAAAACCTGTCGCTAAGAGACAGACCTCAAGCCTTGCAGATAAAACAGCAAGAAAGTTCATTTCTCAGAGGCGTATGTATGATGGAAAGAATAAAGGGAAAAAGAGAGCGTGGGGACTTTTCCCCCAAAATATTTTCTGAAGTTAGATAATGGAAAGATGAAGGCTCAAAATTGTATGCATTTATCTCTGCCTCTTTTTCAAGTCACAACCTGAACATCCAGTTCTTAAAGGCACCTTCTGATCTATTAACACACAAGCTCTAGGAGGCCTATTACATTCAGCTGCAAGCTCTGTTTGACCTAGACAGCTCTACTTGGGCCTGTCGTGTCTGTCTAGCAGCATAGTGGGCACAAGGATAACAAACATCTGCAGGTCCAGGTGCCACCGTGCAAGGCGATGAGCTGGCTTTCACAGAGCCAACATTCCCGGCTTCTGAGTCTCCACATTTATGGAATTCCTTTCTTATTTTAGAGGCAAGATCTTGACATTTAACTATAAAAGGCGAATAGACAAGGAGACAGACAGGCAGATAAAGATATTAACAGAGGTCCCAAGGGCCCAGGAGAACAGCCTACCCTCTGGCTCCGCAGCGTGACACCTGCAGATTTGAAGTCAGGAAACTTGATGCCAGCAGTCTCAGGAACAGCCTGAAAGAGATCGAAACAGGATGTGTTAATGGAGGAAACAAGATTTGATACAGACACTGTACGAAGGGGAAACTGTTTCCTGTGACAGAGAACCACCTGCCATGGCCTCATGTCAAGAGCAGACAAAAGAGGAAAAGCCCAAACAACTCCACTGAGAAAAATACTCTAGTTCAAGTATCTTTGGAGAGCTCAAGCCTTTTATTGTCTTCTTCTACTTCTTTTTGTTTTTAAATGCACTGCTCTCCACAGATCCTTGCACTGATCCACACAAGCATAGGCCTTAATCCTAGCATACGCATATTTGCACAGAATTGCCCTTCTCTAACTCGGGCCCAGTTCAGTGATCAAAACAGCCCAATACTTCCCTAAATCTGTGCTTTCCTCTGAAAGCCCTCTAAGGAATGAGCTGAGAAGCCTCTGATCTGCCCAGATACGAGCCCACTAACGAGGACGTGCAGATCCTAAGGACTGCTCCCCTCCAGGGAGGCCTGCTATTTATACACATTTTGTCATTTGTCCATTCATTAGACAGTTTTCTTTCTTCCTCACTTCACATTTTAAGCATAGCGATATAGAAAGGCAAGATGTCTAATGCTGTTCCTGTGAGAAAGCAGAGCATCCAGTAGCACTGGAATCAAATGGAGAAAAAAAAATGCAATCCCTTAGAAAACTGTGCTGCTGAGCAAAGGACATAGTGAGCATGCTTTTAAATGATTAAACCACTAATGAAACTGGGAAAAAGAGCAAGGGAGGGAGAGCTACTAGGAACATACCTGTCAAAACACTAGTTAGGGTGTTCACTTTTTCCAATCCATGGAATTTTATTGCCCACAATGCTGTACTGAAGCAATATCTCCCCTTCACCATTCTCAAAATCCCCCACATGCAGGATCAAGTCACCAGAATGACAACATGTTGATACATTGGGGCTATCTGCATGGCCCTTTGCCTGAATGGTGTTGGTGCCCCTATAAAGGCCAGTAATACCCATGATTCAATTCACGAGTGGCCACAATCTCTACAAAACACAGGCTCAGTTGCATGTCTTTCCAAAAGGAAGAGACATCCCAAATCTCCCAAATTTTCTGGGGAAATAAAAAATGTCCTCTCTGCTTCCTGTGCAGGAAGGCTGCATCTCAGACATCCCAAACTTTTCCCTTCCAAGCCTGTTGCTGAACACCTTGATAAAAGGGCTGAGGGTAAACCAGGATCTCTGGCTCAGCTGAGCCAACTCTGACTGCACTCAGTGCATAAGCAATTAAATGGATTCTTTTGCCTTGCGTGCCTGTACATGCTGTAAACGCTTCAACCTCAATTGACTCTTTGGTAAATGATTTTCCTTTGTTGAAAGGATGCTGATGCAGCTCCCGATTCAAATTCTTAGTTAAAATGCAATTTTTTTCTTAACATTTCCTGGCTATAGTTGGTAATTGACTCCTAATGGACTCTGTCATGGTTGAAATGATGCTAGTGCAACAACAGAAACTGCTTCTCTGCCCAGCCTGGCGTGCCTATCCATTACATGCCTGAGACAGGCATCAGGCCACAGGCAACATTTAGGGCTGGACCCCCTTACCTGGGCATCCTCAGCATCTTTCTGGGCCCATTCTCCATCACTATCCTTTTCATAAACACTGACAAGCTGTTTTCTTTAGAGCAGGATGCACCACCAGTGAGTTGGCTTTACCAGATCAGCCTCAAGGGAATTAATGCTAGACGCAGAGGGCCCCTAGCACCACTATGTTTATTGCAGGGGAAAAAGGAAAAAGAAAGTTTTAAGGTAGTGTCATCTAATGGGCACGCTTCATCAAGCAGTAACTGTCTAGTGCTCTCTGCTTGTCTCCTCTCTCTGCACAGACCCTTTGGGAAGACGAGGATACACATCCTCTGTGCTCACAGTGTGGAAGGACAGGAATTCCTAGGGACTAGTTGGGAACAACTGAGATTCTTTAAGAGCCCCTTCCTGCTGAAGCTGCTGAATTTAGTTCAACCCATACTGTCCTCTTTTTCCAGGAAGTGAAATTGAGGCAGCATCAAACGCAAACTGAAACCTCTGTTTGGGGTTCCTTATACTTTAGCTTGACTCAGGAAGAAATGAGAAGCAACATCCCCTCAACTAACACAGGAGTGCCCCAAGGCCGCCCTGATTACAGCAAAGGCACACATACCAATCCAGGGGAGATGATGCTGTGACCCAGTAGCAAGAAGGGAAAGGGAAGCCTGGACTAGAAAAAGGTCATGAAAGGCAATGAGTCTGCGGGAGAAATCTGTACAATACCAGAATACCCATGGGAGACATAGGGAGACAGATGCTTCTCTCTGCCATGAGGCACAAGTGGTTGCTGGCTGCCATTGCTCCACCCCATTTCTCAGGGAAGGGAAGGAAAATGGGACTTGAACTACCAGTTATCAAATAGGAGGAGGGCAAATAGCACACCAGGGGAGACTAAAAGCTGTGTGTGCACTGTCACAGACCATTCTGCCTTCAAAAAAACACCCAAAAACACAGCTCCCAGAAGACAGGCAGCAGTTATCCTTTCCCCAAGAGCAGCTGAGAGCCTGATCCTGGTAGAATTGCTGGAGGAAATAAGCATTACCCAGGCAGAGCACAAAGGGAAAAAGTGTTTACAGGTTTCTCTGTCTCCTTCTTTTGTGGCAGCTTCTTCTTAGGAGCCTTGCGTTCTGCACGTCTCTGCTCCGTGGTGGTATCAGCAGCTGTGATGAGTTTCTGCAGGTCTTGGGTTCTCTTTTCTCTCTCTTTCTTCCTGGTTTCGATTTTGCGGAGCTCCTGGATGAGATACTCTTCTTCTGCCACCTGCAGACCAGAGCACAGTAAGACAAACAGAGCAGCAGAGGAGACCTAGCAAGACAAGGGGGCCATCTAGTGATAGCAACTCTGCTCGAAGCCCTTGGGAGTGTCTCAAACTCCCCTGCTCCCCTGTCTGATACCCTGCAGAGGACTTGGATTGGCAGAGAACATTATGCTTCCTAGCCTTATCCTGCATCCATGACAATACCGACCCTTGATAAGGAGATTCTATCCTGCCTTAATTACTGTGCTGACAATCCCAACCTTCTGGTAATCTCACCTAATAGAAGTTGATTCGCTTCTTGCTACCTGCAGTTCCGCATGAAACAGGACAATAGAGTGTAGCAGAGAAGGCACCTGGAAAAGGAGCACTATATGACAACATCTGGGACTCCCCCCAGCCCTTCAGCCACATCCACAAGCAACTAATGGCACCTCCAGACAGGGAGGCTAAAAGCACAAAGATAGAAAGGTAAAAAATAAAACAGGCATCCTAAAGTCGCAGACACACTGCTATGAAAAGTTGCTCTCTTTTGCATCCCTTAAAACAGCATGAACACAAAAGCAGTGTTCAATGTTACTGTTTCTTTGTCCAGGCTTTCTTTTTCCCACTCTTTGGCCTATTTCATCCATACAGACTCAACCTACATATTTATCACAGATCTGTGTAGGGCAGTGCTAGTCTCTTCCTCCAGTTACCTGCTCTGGTGTCCTGTTGTACAGCCTCTCCAGCTGTTCCTTCCTCCGTCTCTCATGGCCAGCATCAAAGACCGGGATTTTCAGGTCTGTGCCTGGAGCAGCACGGATGTTAGCCAGCTTGGCACAGATGTGGTAATAACGCTCCTTCAGGTCCTCCACCGACCGCTTCTGCGAAGACATTGCAAGGAGACATTATGGAAAAGCCAAACAAAGCTCTGAGCAGCAGCCAGGTAAGGGCCTTTGGAGGAAATATGTCAGATTGGGTATAAAATGTGATGCTTGGCAGAAAGATAAGCAAGGAGCCTTGGCAGTCCTTGTGGGATCGGAGGGCTACCTGAAAGGAGCCTCTCTCTAAGGGCTTCAGAGCTATTGCCATCACAGTGTAGTCCTCTCATTTTCAAGGGATGACTTAGGCAGATGAGGATGGCAGCTTCTAGTCAGCATGCACAAGAAAGTCATCCTCAGAGCAAAGAGCAGGGTCTGAGCTATCTGCTGAGAAGACAGGATTTAACCACAAGACTGTGTGTGACACACAAGCTGGAGGCCCTCTCTTGAGTTGCTCTTGAGAACAACTATTTAAGCCATGATCAAGAAGGTATGAGCTCCAACAACTCCTTGCTGGAGCACCCGCCCATCACTGCACTGTGTGGCCACAGGCTCTGAGCTGTGTTGCCTTTCTGCAAGCACTGAAGGTGTTTGAGCTTGTTATTCCACTTTGCTACATTCCCTTCATCTGAGATTTCAAAGGGCAACAAAAGCCTCCAGCCTTTGGAGCTATTCTCTGGGAGGCACATCATTCCTCTGTGTCACCAGGAAGCAGGAAACCAGTAGTCAGAGGAGATTTAAGATACTGATGTGAGTTACATTTTATGAGCACTGATGGTGCCTGCTTCACAGAAGAGATGACAGAAGCCTGCAACAGGTCAGACCACAAGCAAAGAGAAAAGCCAGCAAAAACACAGGAACCCAATCTCCCAAGAATGGTTAGAAGATCCTTGTCCCAGGGCCTAAAGTAGAACCCGGACATCCTAGCACCTACCCTGCTCAGTTAAACAAAATTCCCAACTGCTTTTCCCTACAGAGAATGCGATAATCTGTTCTCCTGGCAGGAACAGGCCTTGTAGCTTTCTAACAAAATACAACAGGGAATGAGCACAAGTCACAGTGGGTTTAGTTATAAACAAAGCAAGCAGCAATGCCCTGTGCCGGAAATTCGATATTCTTTGCTGCCAATAATTAATTATTTTCCCCTAATTAAGCTGATATAAAGGGTAATTTGCTCTTTGCAGCGTAGCAAGCCCTGCACATGCCCTAGCAGCAGGTTGCCAGCAGCACGTGGGCCCCCAGGACTCACCTTGAATTGCTGGTGATCATAGCGGTCATGGATCACGACGAAGCGCAGGTCAAAACGCCGAGCCAGGTCGAAGAGATGGTCTGTCTCAGCCTTGGTCCACGCATCGTCGAGTAGATACATCTGAAACTGCTGCTCTGAGTACACAGGTACCTGCACTGTCTATGCAGTGAAGAGAAAAACAGGGAAGAGATGGAATTCTTACAGTGCTGCCCTTCTTCAGCCACCAGCCGCCATCCCACCATGCCATTAAATGGCCTATGGAAAGTAAATAGTGGTAAAGAAAAAAAATCAAAGTGTTCTTTCCAGAGTAGCATGTGGCCAGCATGACCACCTGCAGTGGATGGAAGAGAAGACTGCAGGTACCTGGCCAGAGAAAAGGACAAGCAAAGAGAACAGTTTGCCCAGAACATTTCTTCAGATGTTGTGATGTGCTCAGAGGCCTTCTGAGCCACAAGGAGTCTCCCCGGCGAGACACCCTTGACAGATGCAACTTCCATGAATTAGTTCAATTGCCTGCAGAAGTCACGCAAGCTTTTAGTGTCCTGCAGCCATGCAACCCAGTGTTTAACTTTGGACTGTATGAAGCACCTCAAGGACTGCAGGAGCAGAAAAGGAAATAGATTCAGTAGTGCTTGAGAGCTAGGAAAAAGAACGTCTGTGAGAAAGTAGGAACTCATCAGCTGGGAAACCTGAGCCAACCACGGAATGACTAAGAGTTCAAACATGACACCAACATGGAAATGTAAATATAACCCCCAGAAAGGGATTTCCAGTACAAACTGGCAGGGTTTCAGGTACACAATGAGATCTTGCCAAGAAGGCAAACTACAACTCCAGTGACCCACGGTCAGGAAAGATGAACTGAAAAGGGAACAGTACAGAGGAGAGCAACTGGAATGAGTTATTGGGTGGGAAGCTTGTCTTTCCTCACCAGGTTGGACAGAAAGGAGTTAGCACAGGAAGCCTGAAAGGGAACAACTGCAGGCTTCAAGTGTGCTAGATGGAAAGAAAAGAATGCCCACAACTGAGATAAACACAAAGAAATTGTCTTGCAAAGAAATGCCAATGGAAAATTTAACCTGAAAATGAGAAACACAGCAGACAGAGCCTGGAACAGCTTCCCTAGGAAACACAGGGGCAGGAAAACCCAACTGCTTTTCAGATGCAACTTGATGAGTTTGTAAATGGGACTAGATGGCACAGCTCCTGCAAGAACTGAGAAAAGGATGCAATGGCCCAGAAGAACCCTCTCAGTCCTATATTAACGCTATTAAGTCATACAATGATGGGCATTAAATTAGCTAAAACTGCTCAGGTAGAATCCTAGAGTCATGAGACAGTTCTGTGAAAACATTGACACAATACTGAGCATTTGCCCCATTCTCACACTCCTTTCCTAAGCCCTTACTAACTGTAGTTAGAAATAAGATACTGGTTGGAGCAAGCCTTTGCTCTGACACCATTCTTGGAGCATACTTGAACTTTTAGGTCTCCTCCTGGACCAAGGGTCAGTGTACTGTGAAACTTACGCCTTCATTTCAGATTTTCACAACAGAGTAAGGATCTGCTGGAAAACTGGGAGCAAAGAGGAAAGACAGAGCAATTAAGCAATGATGCAGGAGCTGTGTTAAAAGCATGTGTGACCAATGGGACAGACTATACAGGAAAATGGTCTGATGCCAAGGGTAGGCAGGGAGGGATGGGCAGAAGTAGCAAGTGTGGGAGAAGGAACCAGCAGAAGTATCTGAAAAAATAACCAAAATTCCTCTGACATTAGCAAATATCCGTGAAACTCCTTGTCAGTGCCTTCTACCTCTCGAGCACTGATCCACACTAAAGGTACCAGCCTGCTCCTACTATTAAATAATCGCGCAGTTGGCAGGGGTCTACACCACTAATCTAAAGGTTGCAGCCTTGCTTGTAACTGTTTTCCCTGTCAATTCACAGTACGTGATAATATGAGGGAAACAAAATTACATAATTACAACACCCACGTGTGGCCCCCTCTGATAAACTTGGTTGCACTTGACCAAAAACTATTAAGAGCAGTGAAGCTGTACAGACACTTCCAAAGTTTCCCTTGAACGGGTAGCGAGGCAGGTGCCTTGACTGAATCATGCTCTAGACTTCCTCGCTAGACACTGGAGAAGAGATCTCACAGGAGGTTCTTACCAGTGTCCCAGCAAGAGCAAAAGCATCAGTCAGAGCTTGAACCTTCTACCATACAAGGTGGTCAAACAACCACTTTAATTCTGCAGGAAAACAGTTTGATACTTGACTCTGAAACATAAGTGTTGATATCGTTTCCTTTGAGCATACACATGAAAGCACTAACCACTCAAAGCAGACATACACCGAACGAAAGACAGCAACACATTGTGACTACTTAAGAGGCAAAGAACAGGGTACTGCACCACACCTCTACCACAGGGGCGGTTTCAGAGCGAACGCAGGGTGATCCAGCATCTGTGCTGGAACTCAGCCAAGAGGCTGCAAATCAGCATTTTGGCTGAGGAGCTGCAAGGGCAGGCTTTTGTACTGGGCGAGATAACAAGACTTACGACTTCAGAAGTCTCACTCAGAATAAAATATCTTTTACGATGCAGAGTTGTATGAAGGAGAGGACACTGGTTAGGAAGTGAATTTGATAGCACAGTGCTGCTTGCCAAATCGCTCGTAGCACCCCTGAACATGGAGGTGCTCTGGCAGGCACTGATCACGTCCCAAGACCACTTAGCTTGAAGGATTTAGACACATCACAGTCCAAGGTGACATGGCTGCAAGCCACGATGCAATTTAAAATGCAAGTGCTTGATCTAATTCAGCTTTAGTACGTTCAAAGAAAGAACCTTCTACCTGGGCAGTTGGGAAGCTGACCAAAGGGTAGTTTCCCATTGCTACTTATACGGTGTTGTTTGAAAGCACCCCTACTTACTTTATTGAACCTGGCAAAAGGGTAGTCCTTCCCTTCTTCTGCTGCTCTCCTCCAGTGGTAGAACATTGCTCCGTCCTTCCTCGCTGGGTTAGTGAAGGGCATCCACTTCCAAGGGCGAACTTTCTTGGACCCCAGTTTGGCTTTGACTGTTCGATAACCCTGAGTTGTATCACTTGGCAGCAGCGGAGGTGCATCCCTGTGGTGGAGAAAAGCACTGGCTGAAGAGAAGCGGGAAACAGAGCAGGAAAACAAAACAAAGCAAGAGATTTCTGACTCAGAATTGGCTTGGCCACCCTGACATTTAGCAGGGGGGAAGGGGAAAAATGATTTTAAACTTTATCACAGGTTTTGAATTTCCCAGACTGAGAGACTAGTATGTTTAGCTCCTCCATGCTACTTTGGTCCTCTGTCATACAACAGCAACTAGCTCCAAATCCCCCTGAATTAACTCTGATGTACTCTGAAGGTAAAAAACCCAGAGGTCAAAAGATGAGGAGACTGTGACATACTGCTGGAGAAATAAGATTCACTATACATAAATGCAGAGTCATATGCTGGTGCAAGAGCAGAGCCCACTGCAAGTTAAACAGAAGCTGCAGCAGAATTCTTTTTGCAGATATAAAGGCAGATGTTACTTCAAATTATGCATAAGAAAAGTAGATGTGGAAGGATGAAAACACTGCCTTTCCTGCAGTTGCCTGTTGTGTCTGTACCTATCCCATCTCATACCCAGACCAAACCCCTCATATTCAGAGCAGGGAAAGAATGCATCCCAAGAGGCACAAAGGCAGGCCAAGCACAAAGAGAATCCATTTGGAAAGCAAGACTGTCCGTGATTTCAAGTGGATGCTGCCCCCCCACCAAAAGCCCAAGCTACACCATGATCTGCACAGAGGACCATAAGCTCTTACTTTTTGTCGGAGTAGAGGAGCGCGTAAACTTCTCGGTGCATTCCCTCCGGCCTCTTAAACGTCAGCGTCTCTGAAGATTTCTTCGATTTTTTCTGAAATAAAAGATGTGAATTTGGGATTCAGAAGTGGCAGTCTCTGGGGGAACATTAACCTGAGGTCCTGTGTTTTTTATTTTACCTGTTCATCTGTTTTTTAGGTGCCTTAAATTTCTCTGGGGAAGTATTAATTCTAAGCGGAAGACATCAGAAAAACTGAGCACACCCCTTGCAGTGGCAGCACTTGCCACTGCTAAAACACATTTTTTGCTAAAGATATGCACTTAATATAAAAGCTCAATATCTGACTTCAGCTATTACTCACTAAGCCTTTCTTCTCTGGCTAAATACTATCTCTACCTGACAATATTAATGAACAAGTGACCGTTCCACCCCCGGAGAGGGCAGTGAGGAATGTCTTCCTATTCTCTCAGTTTCTGTCACCCTGTTCTGCAGAAACTCCACTTTTGACCAGCTGTGCTCAAGTGAAGATAGCAGTGCTTGCTCATACAGTAGTCCCAAATCAAAACCACCAATATCACAAACGAAAGTAAAAGCCTCTCCTTGCCTCAGGCCCCCTGTTTATATGTCAATATTTTTTTTTGTCACTGTTGCTGCCATATCTTCTTCACACAAGGGCTGAAATGCTAAAAACAGGGCCTGTTTAAGGCAGACAAATTATTCAAATTGGCCCTTAAATCCTTATTAGAGCTGGGATTTCTAAAATACATTCCACCATTTCTCATACCACATGTACAGCTTTAAATTATAAAGTAACGGACATTGGATTCAGATGGACACATTAACAACTGAGGCACACTTTATTTGAACAGGCTGCATTCACTGAGTAGCCCAGGGCACTTGGATTCATTTTATCATCTTTGCAATTGCTTACCATGCCACTACTTATAGCTGCTTATTTACCTAATCTCTACCTACTTTTAAATCAAAATATTTTGCAAGAGTATATTTAGCACTGTGGTGTATTAAATCTGCAGTTACATTTATCAAGCAAATTCAAAATCCCATAAAACCTGTGTCAGGTTTTGGACTACAACTATTTTCCATAAAACCCTCACGACAGACATTCATTACACAGGCACCTTTTCACTCCCAATCAAATCCCTTCCTCCCACCTTGTCCATCACTCTGCTCAGGAGCGATGTAAGGCCAACCAAGACAGTTATCCACAGGTCACCATGACACACAGTTTGAGTTCTGGCTTCTGGAATTCCACCAAAGTCTCAAGATTTATTGAAAGTTGATATCAGCAGGCCAGAGATCACCTCAGCCAGCTCTTTTAGGAGCTGAGTACAAATTGCCTGGACCAGCCGATTTAAGTTTTTTTTATGCTAGTAATTCTTCCCTTTAACATTCTCTGTCACTAATGGACTAGAAAGTACTGTATCTTTCTCGTGTGATTTAAATACATCAACCTATTCCTTTGCCATTCTGAACAGAACTGTTTCCTGAGCAAGTCCTGCACTGTCATGAGCAGGTCTGCTCTCTTCACCTGGTAACTGCTCATACTTTTGCAATGATTTTTTTCTCCTCCTGGTACCCATTTAAAGAATTCCCTCCTCATTTTTAATTTTTCTGAGCACACATTTTGTTTTCTTCCTTTTTTAATGTCTTGCCAGGTAAGCATGCCTTCTGTGTGCTCCTTCACTGGTGTGTCTGTGCCTTGAAACGAGATGCACCCTCCTATGAGGGCCAGTGACCACCCCCGTGGGGCGACCGGTTCACTGCGCTCTCCCAGCGCCGGTACTTCGAGTCCTGGTCTGCTCCAACACCTCCAGCTCTTCTACCACCAAGAACAGATCAGTTTCCCCGTGGATGCCATCCTTTTCTATCACGGGATTCATTTTTATACTTCGTAGAAATTTAGAACGTTTCACTTGTAGCTCCACGTGGTCTTGTGTACTTCTCCCCCCAAAATCCTACTGCCCTCTCCTTTGCATTAGATGGGTACATTGAAGGGAAAACTCATCTTATTCTCTCTTTGAAGAGACAGACAGACTTCCACCAGTACTTCTCCAGGTCTCTACTAATTAACACACAAAAGCATCTAAAATCAGCAAACTCCCAACCCTGAGCAGCAGCACAAGCTGAAGCCAGCCTGGAGCCGCCCACTGGACACGCACTGACCAGCAAAACAGCTGAAAACTGGGGATTATAACACTTCAAACTTTTTCAGTTGTACCAATTACACAAAGTTTTTCCATTCCCAGTAAGATATCAAACCACTACACTTTCTTTCAGAAACAAACATTTCAAAAGAACAGGCAAACACAGCTCGGAAGGGCTTTCAGGGATGCAGGATGTTGCCTTTGCTTCAAATCGCAGTGGTCTCTGTAGCAGAGATCGCTGAGAATTCATCTCTCATCCTCATTCCCAAGCAAGGGACAGCAACAATCTGGTCTGACTCTGAGATGCAGAAACAGGGGCAGAGTTCCCAGGTGCATCGTGTAACAGCACATGTCCCTAACACGGGTTACTAAACTTGCCCACGTTCCCCCAAGCAACGTTCCTCAGTTCTCCCAAGTCCCAGGCACGCATCCTCCTCCACAACAGGAAGGTTTGAAAACATTTTCCATTTGGCAATATCCAACATTTTTGTCTGCAGGAGCAGGGCTCTGCTGCATTACCATTCTAGCCTCAAAGCCAGCAGAAGTGACCTGGACTCCCCGTTCCTCACAAAACGGGGCCCTGGGGCCAGGCCCCGCTCACACAGCTCTGGCTGAAGCAGTGCCCCAAATGCCAGGACACCCCTCGCTCGGAGCAGGGGGAGCCCAGGAGTGGGGCCCCGCAGGCATTTCCAGGTAGCCTTGGGGAGCCCTAAATTAAAAGGTCTGCGGCCAAAATGTGCTTTATTCCACTTTATTTCAAATATTCAGTCCCAGTATCGCATCCAAGGCTGGTCGGCACCTGGAAAACGGCCTGAGGCCCCCAAAGCGCCATGCTACCTTGTCGGAGTTGATGATGTCCTTCTTGTTGATGGTGCCCGTGCTCTCCGCCTCCACGCCGCCCAGCTCCAGGATGTCCCGCACGTCCGCGCCCGTCGCCATCTCGCCGCCGGCGCGGGGCCTGCCCGTCCCGTGCTGCCGGTTGGCTCTGCGGGGAAAGCGGGGCTCAGAG